ACAAGGACAGGTCAGAGACACATGCGCAGGTCATAGACACATGTGCATGTCATAGACACATGAACAGGTCAGAGACACAAGGACAGGTCAGAGACACATGGGCAGGTCAAAGACTAATGGACTGGTCAGAGACAAATGGGCAGTTCAGATACACAGGAACACGTTAGAGACACATGGACAGGTTAGAGACACATGGACTGGTCAGAGACACAAGGACAGGCCAGAGACACATGCGCAGGTCATAGACACGTGCAGGTCATAGACACATGAACAGGTCAGAGACACAAGGACAGGTCAAAGACATATGGACAAGATGGAGACACATGGGCAGGTCAGAGACACATGGACTGGTCAGAGACACAGGAATAGGTCAGAGACACATGGACAGGCCAGAGACACAGGGACAGGTCAGACACACAGGAACAGGTCAGAGACACATGGACAGGACGGAGACACATGGGCAGGACAGAGACGAGCAGGTCATAGACACATGGACTGGTCAGAGACACATGAACAGTTCAGAGACACATGGGCAGATCAGAGACAAATGGACAGGTCAGAGACAGACCGACGGATCAGAGACAAATGGACAGGTCAGAGACACATGGACAGGTCAGAGACACATGGACTGTCAGAGACACATGGACAGGTCAGAGACACATGGGCAGGTCAGAGACACATGAACAGGTCAGAGACACATGGGCAGGTCAGAGACAAATGAAAAGGTCAGAGACACATGAAAGGGTCAGAGACACATGGACAGGTCAGAGACACAGGAACAGGTTAGAGACACATGGGCAGGTCAGAGACACATGGACAGGTCAGAGACACATGGACAGGCAAGAGACAAATGGACTGGTCAGAGACACATGAACAGGTCAGAGACACATGGACAGGACGGAGACACAGGAACAGGTTAGAGACAAATGTACTGGTCAGAGACACATACCATACCAATTTATTTATAAAGCACTTTAAACAGTGACAAAGCACACCAAAGTGCTGTACAGGGACAAACAGAACAAGCACACAGCAACAGATTACATAACAGGACACCAAAAAGTAGAAACCAACAAAAACAATAATGGATAACAACAACAACCGCAACATGACTAACACAGTGTGATGCACACAGACTCAGCACAGATCACACAGTGCAGAAAGCCAGGGAATAGAAGTGTGTTTTTAAGCGAGATTTAAAAACTGTGAGGGAGGGGGCCTGTCTAACGAGCAGAGGTAACTCATTCCAAAGTCTTGGGCCTGCTACAGAGAAGGCCCCGTCACCTCTGCGCTTGAGACGGGTTCCTGGGACTGTTAGGAGCAACTGGTCTGAAGATCTGAGAGAACGTGGTGGGACATACGGCTGGAGCAGATCAGTAAGATAGGAGGGGGCAGAGCTGTTTAGTGATTTATAGACATACAAGAGTATTTTGAATTTGATTCGAAGGTGAACCGGAAGCCAGTGTAGGGAGGCCAAAACAGGTGTAATGTGCTCTCTTTTGCTTGTGCTGGTCAAAAACCGGGCTGCTGCATTTTGGACCAGTTGGAGTCTAGCTATGGAGGTCTGACTGATACCAAAAAGGAGTGAGTTGCAATAGCCGAGCCTGGATGTAATGAATGCATGAATTACTGTCTCCAGATTATTTTTGGACAATATGGGCTTCAGCTTAGACAGTCGCCTCAGCTGGAAAAAGCAGGATTTAACAATCATATTTACATGATTGTTGAGTTTCAGAGAAGGGTCAAGTATCACTCCTAGATTAGGGACTCTTTGTTTCACTAACGGTGACAGAACGGATAGGTCGATGCAGTGGTTGGTGATAGTGTCATTGGGAGGAAACAGCATAACTTCAGATTTCTTCTCGTTGAAACTCAAGAAATTTAAAGCCATCCAATCTCTGATGTCAGCCAGGCAGTCCAGTAACGGTTGAATAGAGAGAGTACCGTTGAGTCTGAGG